AACTGTTTCTCTTCTCCCAAGGTTCAGAAAGAATTGAACTTAATACACTTTGCTCTCAGAGCTCTAGACTCTTAAAGTTGTGAAAGAATCAATTTCCATCATTTTGGCCATCAAGAGTACAGGACATTATTACAGCTGTCCTAAAAAACTGCAATACAAGGTCAGAGTTTACCACGGCTGGTTGATTAGAAGCTTCCACTAACAAGTCAACAAAGACTGGAAAATAAACTCATATTCTCTCTAAACCTCTCGAATTTTACCTGTGAAATAAGGATAGTCACATCTCATAAGACTGCTGGAAAGTGTCGATAAATTTCTATACATACCTATAAAAGCACTATATGCTATCACACTAAACGCTCTCCGTAGTTATTAGCTATTCCTGTCCTTCCCTTGTTGAACTGTACACCAAGCTCTATTCACTCCAGGTCCATCATCAAATAAAACAGATGTAAATCTCTGACTCTATGAAGTTCACCCTGCAGTGAGAGGATGTAGACAATAAAATAAGGAAATTATGTAACATGTTGTCCTATAATTATAATTAGAGAGGGATTGTGGGAAAATTGGGACAAGCAGAGTCAGGTAACTCTTTGTAGAGTAGTACCAGGGGAGACCTCATTGCGGGTGGTGTGCATTCATGGAGAAAGAGTCTATCGGGTTATATTAGTCTGTCTTTTGCTGTAACAAAATATGTGGGTTCTTCATGTAAAATAAAGAAACTTCTTTAGCCAAAAGACCAAGATCAAAGAGCCCCACAGGCTCAGCTTGGAGTTAGGGTATCTTGACTGTGTCACGCAGGAGGGATAGACTGAATGGCAAAGAAGCCAAGAACATGGGCAGTCGCACTCTGTAACAAGTAGTGTTCACAGAAACTGGCTAGTGTCCTGTGTGATAGCACCCTGACTGACCTAATACCCTGCCAATGAGCCTCACCTCAGAAATTCTACCACGAGTAACATGATCCGAGATATACTTTTCCAGGCTCTTGTGTGGGGGCAGATTTGACAGTGGTAGGGTCTAGGAGAGAAGGAAGGACAGAAACAGGAATTTTTCAGAGGAATCTATTCCTGAAACCCAGTGTGGCAATCAGACTTGAGAAGGTAAAGCACAGAGAGCAGATCTCCAACAGGCTTTCCTGATGGACCCAATGTGAGGTCTGAAAGAAAATAGGAGAGCCAGGGATGGCTTAGAGACTAAAAGCATGCTATGGCTTGAGCATGTCACCGCCCCCCCCACCAAATACCAGTATTGAACTTTTATGCTTCAAGGTGCCACTGTTGGGTTCAGTGTCATAAGAAAAGACTTGCAGGAATGATTCATTTTCTCTCTTTTTCACAAGTGCCCACATGCCCTTGGCTTTCTACCACGCCTTGAAGGAGCACGAAGCCCTCACCAGAAGCCAAACAGATGATGGCACCATACTTTTGGACTTTGCAGTCCCCAGAATCAGGATACAAAATATATTTTTCTTTACACATTCCCCAGTCTAGCCTCTGGTAATCTGTTACAAAAACAAAAAACAGACCAAAGCAAGACCTGAATGAGTGAAACTATATTCCCTTAGCTGAACTGGGAAAGATTTTTGACATCATGGTTTAAGGAAGGGGGGGAAAATACAGTAGCTTCTATTATTGTTCAACTCCTATATATTATAATTATAATTATTATTTTTATAATGAGAAGTAGCTTCATCATATTTTTCCGTTATTTTTATCTATACCACCCACCAGATTCTCTTTTATTTCCTTGCCCATTCTGACAGCTAGTGGAAGATTACTTCTAACCAATCTCTCTCTGTGCTGGTACTGGGGCATGAACTTAGGGCGTCGTGTTCTCCCTTAGGTTTCTTTTTTACTTAGGGTAGGTGCTCTACCACGTGGGCCACACCACCATTTCCATAGCCAATCTGATTCCTTCTGAATTCATTCTTGCCTCTCAGAGAAGTAGGAAAACACTGAGCAAGTCTAACACAGACATGTCACCTTGACTCCCTTCCGCTTCAGAAGTCACACCATCTCTCTCTCCCCGCAGAAAACATCTGCTTTTTCTTTTTTTAGGAATATTACTTTTTTTTTTGCTTTTTCTTGCTTTATTCATGTTCTCCCACCTCCCCAACTTCCATGAATCCTTCCATCAATTCTTCTTACTAACCACACTGATCTCATTTCCATTAATTCTCTTCCAATTCCTCAATACCACAATAAATCCTTTGACCTAGCTTCCTGGCTAACTTCCCTCTGGCCCTCAATTACAACTGTTTCATATAAGGAAAAGTCGGTTGATACCTTTGGGTCTGGCTTTGGGTTTTTTGCTCCTTTTTAAAATGAAGGAATTACCTAGATTATCTTTTAAATTTGTTGTGCTTTAACTTCTGATTTGGCTCTATGTTTAACTATATTCCATGCTATCACGGGTACCTATCTAGCTCACTTTTCAATCAATTATTTCTCTCATTCTTGAGGCTTAATCATATTTTTGCACCATTTTAATGCCAAGTCACAAGTTTTTCACTTGTACCTTAATGTTGGTCAAAAGGGAGCACATAACTTTTCTACTTTTCCTAACTTTCGTACATAGGTAAGAGAAGGATAATGTTCAAAGTCTCTAAAAAAGTAACCTTATTTGGACATTTGTTTACTTGAATGAGCACTTCTTTTGATTATGTTGGAGAAAGCTGTGGTTGAAAAGTTTCCTAGAGCTGGGGGATAGCTAAGTGGGAGAGTGCATGTTTAGTAAATAAGGGTCGTGGATTTAATCCGGAGTACTTCCACCCAGGATAAGCATTCATGCCAGAGACAAGGAGCTAATAACACCCTAGCTGCTTTGATTTTCCAGGCACATTCTTGAAGGTTCATCCTCATTTCTCTGAAGTACCCTTGCATATGAATTCTTTGTCAACTAAATGTGCCTTTCCATAGGCTAATTTGAGAGTAAGAAACAGAGTTTAACTGAGCTGACTCCCCCCTTTACAAATGAAAGCTTATTCTTTGAGGTTCTAGATTAAATGGATAATATTAAAACAATTCTGTCTTTTTGAAATGCATTTATTTAGCAAAAATTCCAGGTGATCTGAGGTAGGGTAGCCATCCTATTCATTGAAGACTACAGGTTATTCCAGAACACTTTCAATAGCCCTAAACTGGTTTTGTTCAGCAGAGCAATAAGACAAAAAGTTGGAAATACACTCCAAAATTCAATTCTATAGTGGAAATTATGAAGAAATTATACACTAGACATTAAAGAAATTTACACACACATACATGTATACACACACTTATGTATATGAATAGTATTCCATTTTTAGCATTAAATTTCACATGTAATATTATGATTGCTAATGGGTTCTTAAATACAATAGCTATTTCCAGCTCTTTTTAGCACATTATTCAATGCTGGTTTAGCTATTTAACATTGTAAAACTGTACAATTGTAGGGCAAGTGTTGACTGTCTAGTCTCCTCTGCCCAAAACAAATGTCACCTCTCTTGAGTGCCACCCTGCCTCAGAGTGCTACCAGAACTTATTTTCTATCCTTTCCTTAGACCCTCTAAATCACTGTCTGTCCTACCTATCAATACATTACTGTGGAAGAAAGGAGGAACAGAAAAATACACAGGTATTTTAGTTTAACTTTTAAAGTTTGGGTTTTGAGTCAGACAAATGTAGCTCTGTACTGTGTGTCATGTGACAATGGATAGTAGATTTCACCTTTCTGAATCTTAGCTTCCTTGTGGACATACTAAAGATAATGCAAGCTTCCCCACTGGAGCCTATGAAGGTAGAATTAGATAAAATGGTAAAATACCTTATATATGAAGATGCTATTAGAAGGCGTTTCATCCAGTGTTCTACCATGTCAGTCACACTGGTGTCAATGCAGGTCTGTTTCCAGGTCCTGCATCTCAGAAGGAAAAATCTTGCTTATCTTTGTATAGCCTATAGAACCCAGTGGTTCTAAAGAAACCAGGTTCTAAAGAAACAGCAGCTGTGAGCTGCTTACACTGAGAGCTGAACTATGATCAGACTCAAGCTGCTGAGTCAAATCTGTGGCTTTGGCTCTTGGGGTTGTTTGGATAATACAGTTCTTCTCGGGAACTATGACCACTCAGGCCTCAGTGGCCTGTAGGTCATCTACTGTGTTTTTAGGTTGCACAAATAGAACTTCTCATCTAAATTCTTTGACAACTGATCAGGATACTCTTCATTTCTCACTGTAGAAACTGCTACAGGGGTATCGACCTTATCCTGGATACGGATTAAAGTGAATTGACTGCACTATGCTAGAAAGAACAAACTGTATTGAAAACGGCGCTATGTCAGATAAACAAGGGTTACAAACACCAGCTCAGTCCTGTCTAACCACCAGACCCTGGGCAAGTTCTCTACGCTCATTAAACCTCAGTTAAAGCAAACACTGAGCTAACTCTAAATCTGCTGTTCCAGGGGGAGGCTGGGTAGATAACGAAGACAATGCCTTAAAGTACACTTTAACCATCAGAAAGCAGTATGTAGAAAATATAATGAACGGAAAGCCATTACTTTTGACCCCATTGATCGCTTCCTTTGTCATAATTCAGGCTTCTACTTTTATTTCTCCCTTTGGCAAATGATCATCATTTTAGTTAATAAAAAATGCTGTGTGTGTGTGTATACATGTACTCATAGACTACAGTAATGAACTCCACCAGGCAACCAGGTCAACATGCCAAAACCACAAGAAAGTGTTGTCTTGAATCCCTCACACATAGTAGCAGCAGGGCAAACGTCTCTTCTGCAGCGGAACTGAGTGCATGCTTTGGTTATCTGGTGCTAGAACACTGCATGGCCAACTGCCTCTGGCTTTCTCTCCTGTGGCCGTCCCAGCATCCTTTGCACAGTATTTCAAGGACACAGTCCACTAAAAGCATCACAGAAAGTCATCCTCACAGGAAGGAAAGCGGCATGGAGGAGGAGAGCACACCAATCTTCACTCTTCAGGTGGGGTCTCGGTCACTAGATCACTTAATTAATATCATCTCACACTTCTCTAAAAACAAGCAAACAAACTGGGAGGAACGAGAGGCAGGCTGGCCAGCTACCGAGTGCATCTGAGAGAACAAATCTTCCCGAATTTCTGGAAGAAATCTTCTTGAGCCCTGGACAAGGCATCTTCGTCAATGAACACCGCGGGCCTCTTGGCCATCAGGAAGTATTGTATCTTCCTGAGCTTCCAGCCCAGCACATAGTGGAGCCAGCCGCAGACGGCCGCAGTGGAGCGCCCCACCCCGGCGTTGCAGTGGACATACACGTTGTGTCCATTCTCCAGGAGAGCATGCAGGAGACACACGGCCTGGGGTAGCATCTGCACTCGGCCTAGGATTGAGAAAGCACAGCAGCCACGTGAATGATGAAACCTCCACATCAGCACTCACCACTGAGCCCTCCAGGGCTGGGGGTAGGCCCAGCCCTCTGTGGGGAAGGCCAGGAGGGGATACTTTGCTTCATTCCTTTGTTTTCAAGAAAAGATGAGATATGTTTAACACCTGCTCAGAACCTCTGGACACTGCTGCTCCTCTCAGTGACTGTCGCATCAATGCAGATTTCCCTTGTAAGGAGAATTATCACCTATGGTTCAAAAGGATGGATTTGCACATCTTCCAGAAGGGTTTGGCAGAGAAGTTTCAAAGAAGACCTACTCTATCCTGTCAATTGAGTTTCACTTTTCCAAAATGTCCTACTAGCTCAAGAACAGCTGAGTAGAATTCACCCTTATCAGTTAAAGACCTGAGCTCGTTCATTGATTAGACAAATGAAATTAGAAACAATTAGATAAGGCTCATTTTCTTTTGTGCACTGGAATGCTGGTACATGTGGGATAATATAATCCTTCATTTCTTCCTTCATGACCCTGTGAGCACTACACCTGATTGAATTTCTGTGTTATGGGACAATTATGGCTATAGTTATGACCATTTTAAGACTGCTATTTTAATTATAACATTATCCAAATATCTTATACTGGGCAAGGGTGTGCTGTGTCCTACTGAGCCCTGACTAACCCTGCAGAGCAGAGGAACACTTCACAACCATCCTTTGCACTCTTGCACACAGGAGGATGCTCCTGCTCACATGTACTCACTACAGAAATATTTAATGGGTTAAGGTTTTTGGTTGGTTGGTTGGTTGGTTGGTTTTCTCGCGGGTGGAGGGTCATTGTAAATGACTACCTATACAGAATCATGGGTTATAGTTCTGCACTTTCTTATACCTTGGCCTTCTCTGCCCTCATGGAGGAACACAATGCCCCAGAAGAATATTCCTAGGACTACACAGGAGAGACCTGTGCAGGCTTCATGCTGACATTGCCACTCAAAGACTGAGGAAACGGGAAAAGCCACTTCCTCAAAATATCTGACCTGCAGCTAGGCGCTGATGGCTCACTCCTGTAATCCTAACTGCTCAAGAGGCTGACAGCTGGGGATCGTTCAAAGCCAGCCCAGGCAGGAAAAGTCTGTTAGAGTCTTATCTCCAATATATTACCCCTCCCCCCGCAAAAAAAAAAAGCTGGAAGTGAAGCTGTGACTCAAGTGAGAGTATGTCAGCTATGAGCAAAAGAAGCTCAGGGACAGAGTCCAGGCTCTGAGTTGAAGAACACACACACACACATATAGACACACACACACACACACACACACACACAATCTAACCTACAGATCTTCCCTAAGCACAGATTTCTCCCGGAAGAGCCACTCTGGTCAGTTTAGCCCGTCTTCTTTAGGTCTTCTTTTGAAATGCCACAACACATTGCAATCAGGTACCAGCACCTTGGAGGAACAGTAATTTTGCAAAAGAGCCCCTCGTGGCTGGAAGGCCCTCTCTCAGACACCATTTCTATCTCACTTCAGCCTTGTCATGCTCTGAGACAGGAGTGGGGGTCTGTAGAGAAGCTAAGATAGAATTCTGATCCTTCTACCTGCTCTTCAGCCCCTCGAACAAAACCATCTAGAGCTGCATGCACCACCCAGCAGTTCAGAGATGTTTACAAGGGAATGATTAGGTGCGCCCAGTTGGTGGTCCCCAGGGGCTCAACGCTGCCTCTCTACTGCCCAGTGCTAGAAACATGTGATCTCTACCTGGTTTCGATTAGAGACACACTAGCTCCATGAGGGTCTGGGTCCATGTGCAACCTAGGAATTTTAATTCATTGAAACCCATAGGCCTAGTCTCAGGATGCTCTGAGCAGAGCAGACCTGGCCAGATGTCCTCCTTGAACTCTCTTAGAGGTACTAAGTGTCCTGGAGAGAGACAGCAAAGTGGAGAAAGGATCAGAAGTGCCAGCAAATTGCCTGCCTGTGGCCTCAGCCATAGCACTGTGGTAGATCCACCATCTGAGTAGAGATCAATGGAGGTCAACTCTCTAAGATGTGCTTGATGCATCTTACTGCATGCATTCTAGTCCTACTGAGAGGAAGTGAGACACCTGCTTCAAAATTTCTGGTGGGAAGAGAATCAACTGGTAACTCTGGGATGCACAGGTTCCTCCCGCTTCTCCCACCATTGACACCACTTGAAAGGTTCTCATCCAGAGCTACGTTTCCCTCCACCTCCCCTTCAACCCTCCCTGGATACCATGCCTTGACAGGAAACATAAGCAACAGTGTTGAGGCGGGTTCTTGTCAAAGGCCCGTTCTACGCACAGGCCACAGTCACATTTGCAGTAGGAGCTTCTGGTCTGGGAGTTTCCGCTGCTGATGCTCAGCTTACACTGCATCAGTGAGGCGGCTCTGCCACGAGTCATGGTCTCTGCCCTGGGCCTCGGCCTGCCCTCCGGCTAGAGCTGCTTCAAGGAAGAGTCTTCTCCCATGACACTCATGGTATAAATACCTTCCTTTCCTCTTAATCTCTGAAAGATTATTCAAGAGGCTGACACACAGTTTACTAGTTAGAGGAACGCATGCTGGCTTGAGGTTCTCCTGTCTCAGGTTCATCCTTCTAAAGGAACCATGGCAGCTACTCATCAATGAGCCAAAGGCTCCCGGCTTCACATAGATTTCACACACAGGGACACACCCACCCGTGGCCTCCTCACACAGCCTGTCCATGGAGGAGCGGTGTTGAAGAGGACAGGTCTATTTTTGGGAAGGGCACCTATGAAGTGCCCAGGGCAGTGTGCCCATCATCTTAGGCTGGGCCCACTGGAGCTCTGGTGTATCTGAACACAATTCCAGTGACTTCACTCTGCTTTGATGACTGAGAGACAACACGCTGAGGCCTTGCTGCCCACCAACGGCTATTCTAAGTTCTCGACATCGAAGAGATCCTTGATAATCACCCCTCCACATCTGTGAGGCTGGTGATATGTTGCCTTCTGTTTTTAGATAAAGGAATTGAGGCATAGAGGTTTACCCAAAGTTAACTCACCCCGTGATCACTCAACTCAGCCCCACCAGACTGACTCCAAAGCTTCTGACTTTAATATCTCCACTGTGGTTCTTCTCTAACTTACATGGTTACTGATACCATCTCCCCAGCTTGACAGTCTGAATTCTCCCTTAGTCCTTCTGTGCCCTACTGTGCTAGTCCTGTGCTGAATGGGAGCAGTATGCTGCATACATAGCAGCACTTCTACAGAAGCTCTCTGCACCCCAAGGGGCCCATCTCTCTGCTTCCTAGGAAGCCCAGACCAGTAAGGATCAAAAAGAAGGTCCTGGGCAAAATACAGGTACCATATTTTTTGGATCCACTCATCTTTTGTGGGGCATCTGGGCTGTATGTCAGTTGCAGAGAAATGAATAGAACTAGAATAAATCATGTTAAGTGAGGTAAGCCAAGATCAGAGAGACAAACGGCACATGTTCTCTCTGATATGCAGAAGTTAGATCTAAAACACATTGGGAGATGACAAATTATATAGGATTCTAGATATTTGCATACAGTAAGATCAAAAGAGGATGTTGTTAGGAGAGAATCACAAATGTGCAATGCCTAAGCGCCTCTTCATATTTTTATAAAATATATACTGAAATGAACTCCAAGATATGGGAACAAAAGACTTATTTTTCTTTTTTCAGTTTTCAGTCTATCTTCTATACCTTATAAATGGTGTATTCACATGTGCATTTTTGCACAGGGCACAGAACTCTAGGGAAAAAGGGTAAAAAAAAGTACAATAGTGGAGCACACTGGATATTGGTAAAAGTAAAGTATACAACTTGTGAATAGAGATGGGAGGGAAGGAGTAGGAGAGAATGAGGGAATGGCTGACACTGCATGAAAGGAAATGTACTTATTACTTGATTCATGTAAATGTAACACCGCTAGACATCACCTCTATAATAACAATAATGTAATTTTAAATTTTTTATTGTAAAGGTGATTTACAGAGGGTTCAAAGTTACATGAGGTAATGAGTACATTTTTTTAACAATGTTGTCCCCATCCTCATTTTCTCCTATTTTCCCACCCCTCCCACTTTCCTCCCTCATCAAGTTATAAAATTCCAATATAGTGTCTTGTGAGTATTGCTGGTGGATCAGTTTACCCTTTGTCCTACTGTTTCTGTGATTCCCCTTCCCTTTCTCAAATCAGATAAACATATACAAGACAAAGGATACAAAAATCAAAAACAGTGACAGCAGGAATAAACTAAAGGGAAAAAACAGAAAGAAAAAAGAACTGATCACAAACAGTACACTAGAATAAAACCTCTTGTTTCCATTTCTTGGAGTTCATTTCAATAAGCATCATTTTATGTGTTCATATGCACATAGCTATTGAACTATTGTGATTCTATGCTAAGAATATCCTAGACAAATTCTAGTTATTACAAATGAGGGAAAAAATGCAGTCTATGTTTCTTTGGATCTGGCTTGCTTCACTTAATAAAATTTTTTCCAAGTCTTACCATTTCCTTACGAATGGGCCAGTATCATTCTTTATGATGAAAGCATAGAATTCCATTGTATATATTGATCCATTCATCTACTGAGGGCATCTGGATTGGTTTTGTATCTTAGCTATGGTAAACAATGCTGCAGTGACATGGTTGTGGTGGTAGCTTTAATATGGCTTTGTTTGTGGTCATTTGGTCAAATGCCCAGGAGCAGAATTGCTGGGTCCATGTTTAGTCTTTTGAGGATCTTCCATACTGCTTTCCAGAGTGGCTGAATCAGTTTACATTCCCACCAACAGTGCAGTAGCGTTCCCTTTTGGCCACATCCCCACCAGTATCTGTTATTAATTTTCCTTGATAATGGCCATTCTAACTTGGGTGAGATAGAATCTTGGTATTGTTTTGATTTGCATAGAAATTAATAATAAAGTAAATTTTAAAAAAGAAGATCCTCAGGGTCAAGGTTCACCATAAAATACCCTGCATCACAGGGTCAATGTCCACCAGAGCAACTAATGTTTAGATTTCCTATACAATAGCTCCATGGAGAACTTAATTTGTTTCCATTTGTGAAAAAAAGTAATATCTCAAGATAAGGCAAAAATTCAGATCTTTTTATGTAAAAGATTCCAGATTTTAAATGCTGGCAACTGAGTTGAAAATGTATAAACCTTATGTAGGTCAAACAAAATACTCTACCATCTGTGTTTCTCACTTTGGAATTTAGAACAGGCTTTGGGGCTCAATAGACGTTCAGTAAACATTCTTTAAGTGCACAGATAAAAAGAAAAAATAATAAAAACATTCAAACAATCCTGAAAGGGCGAGTCACTGCTCAGATCCTCTCAACACAATTTTTGGTTCACACTTAGTCCAGGCTGATCCAATTCTGGACTGATGAAAGCATCCTGAAGGTGATCCACCTATTGAGCAAGTGAAGGTTATAAGACAGGATAGTTCACTTGGGCAGATTATGTGGAGCCCCCTAAAGCATCAGAGGCTCAGACAGGGAGGCCAATGATCCCTAGAGGAATGCTTTACCTGCAGCTGACTTTGTGTGCAATCTTTCATGGCTCGATTTTCTAACACACACACACACACACACACACACACACACACACACACACACACACCTTCCTTACTACAGAAGCAGACCTATGGCTGAGAATATGATTATTTTATTTGAGCCTATCTTTTTTTTTTTAGCTTAACGTGGATAAGGTCCATTCAATCTGTAACAACTTTTGGAAGAAATTAAAATTTGAGGACTGATCCTATGGTCCTGGCTTCAGGACTTTCGTGCCTTTTCATTGCCTGCCCCTATTGTTATAATCCAGTGAGGTAGAAATTGCTGGGTCTGTTTTCCAGTGCAGGAGCTACAGGGTAAGTGTCCACAGTTGCTCAGTGACTACATCGCTGGTGCCCAGGTGTCCTACGTCCAAGGTCAGTGCCCGCACAGTGGCAGTACTGAGCTCAGTCTGTTGAATGAATGAAAGCCAATGTGATCCCAACTACAGAGGGTGGCTGAGGACACTGAGCATCACACTAACTCATTCAGGAGGCAAGGGCAGGCCACACATCATACACAGCTCTGCATGAACCAAGGTCAGAATGTAATCTGAATTCTCTCCATGGGGTAGATGTTTCTATGAGCAGCTTTGTTCTGTTCAGATGAATCCTGAATTTGGGAGACATTCACTTTTCAGGAGAATGAGACAAACTAAACTTTAACAAGAAAAGAAGGGGCTGGGAAGGTGGCTCAGTGGTAGAGCGCTTACTTTGCATGCATGAGGCTCTGAGGTCGATTCCTCAGCACCACATAAGCAAAAAGAAAAAAGCCGGAAGTGGTGCTGTGGCTCAAGTGGTAGAGCACTAGCCTTGAGCTGAAGAGCTGAGGGACAGTGCCCAGGCCCAGAGTTCAGGCCCCCAGACCCCCCCCAAAAAAA